AAGGCCACCCGATGTCAGATTAGACACAATATTGAATTTACCTGGGCTGGTTAGTCCGATGATAATACCTCAAGGCCATCGCCCTTTCAAAAAAAAAAAAACAAAAAAAAAAAACATCGAAGTGACCGGCCCTAGGTAATTCAGAATTGTATACTTATTTGTTTATTTTTTCAAAGGGCGACTGACTGTCTTGAGCCTTGAGGTATCATCATCGAGCTGACCGGCCCCAGGACACTCAGAAATTATTTCAATTGCATTCATCAACGTCCATCATCAGGACTGGAACTAGGGATCGGTACTTCAACAGTTCATGGGTGTACCAACTGCGCTAGGCTCGTTGGAAAATTCTAGTATTAGAAAATAATAATAATAATAAAATCTAGTATTTTACTCATCTCCTTCCAGTGGAGTTCGAACTCAAGTCTGCATTTCAACACTTCAGGGGTGTACCTACCAACTGAGCTACCAATCGGCCAGTTGGTTTTATGGTCATCCTTGTGCAGGGGTATTTTAGTAAATTTACTCAATGCATCCGCTTCCGGTGGAGTTCGAACGCAGGTCTGCATTTCAACACTTCTGAATCAGGGGTGTACCAACTGAGTTACCGGTAGGCCAGTTGTTTTTTTTTTCTTTTTCTTTTTAACACGAGCAATTCATTACAGAAAACAAATGATCGAGGCCGGGGACCTCACAATTCCACCCGGATGTTATCCTGGCAGCCTTAGCCAGCTTCGCTTGTCGGAAGAATCAAAATTATAGTCGCTTCCTACTCTTACCAAACCAGCTACACAGTTGCTTTTTTTTTAAAAAAAAAAAAAAGGGCGACGGCCTTGAGATATTATCGTTGAGCTGACCGGCCCCAAGCAATTCATTTGTAGTCGGTTTTACTCGTCACGTTCCATCATTTGGATTCGAACACAGGTCTGTATTTCAACAGTTCATGGGTGTACCCACTGAGCTAGGCTCTTGGGTTCACAGTTGTTTTTTTGGCCATCCTTGCGGAGGGACAACGCTAATCTTCTTAAATCAAAAAAAAAAAAAAACAGAACAACAATGGTAATCTTCTATGTATCACCAACGGGCCTAGCCCAGTTGGTACACCCATGAACTCTTTAAATAGAGACCCGAGTTCGAGACCATCTGCAATCACACGAGCAAAAAACACATAATCCTTAATAATTACCTGGGCCCGGTCAGTTTGGTGATAATCTTCTTCTGTATCGTTCTAATTTTAACCCATGTCCCGAAGGACAGTTCCGCCAAATTCATGGAACAACACGATGCTGTTTTTCTTCTTATTTTTTTCTTCTTTTTTTTCATCTAATTGAATTTTTTGAGGGCATACGATAGCCCTTAACCTCGTCGTCATTGTGACCATCAGGTTGCGAATGAAGAGACATATGCGGGTGTCACTGCGACATGGGGGCTCGCCGCACAACTCGCCAGAACCCACATTTCGAAAGTGTCGGGACCACGGCAGGTCCAAATACATCCTAAAAATTGGCGCTTGGCGAGTGGTGCGGCGAGCCACCTGGGCGTCGACTGTCACTCGCTATCCAGGACTCCAGCAAGCGAACCTTGGCGACCGAGCACAGACGATTGCCCCTGTTAGTCTTACCGTCACGGTACGCTCTCCGTGCACTAACGGAGAAGCTAACGGTGCCGTAGGCTCTCCATGAACCCGACTCTATGCAGTAACGTCGAGCGTAACAGTGCCGACTGTACCGTTCACATATAATTCACACTATACTACCTGTCTCTTATACACATCTAGATGTGTATAAGAGACAGCCCAACAGCTTGTGGCAGGGCACCCTGTGACTTC